TCTTTTCCCATGGAGTCGAATTCTCGGCTCACCCCCACTGATGATGAGCTTCTTTCTGATCCGGGTTCGTACTGGTGCCTCATTGGTAGACTCTTGTACCTTACAGTGACTAGGCCCGGCTTGGTTTACAAGGTAAATGCACTCCGCCAGTTTGTGTCTCAACTGCGAACGTCGAATTGGCAAGATGCTCTTAGAGTTGTACGCTACTTGAAGTCTTCCCCTAGGATTAGTATTCTTCTCCCCTGTAGTTCAGACTTGAGGTTAAGAGCATATATGGATTCCGATTGAGCCTCCTGCCCCACTACTTGCCACTCCATCTCTGGATATTGTATTTATCTTAGCTACAGTCCTATCTTTTGGAAAACTAAGAAACAGGCTATCGCCTCATGCTCCTTCGCTGAAGCTGAGTATCGAGTCATGGCCTCCACCGCGTGAAAACTACATATATGGTTGCAATATCTCTTTTCCGATTTACATATCCCCTCACATACTGCCATCATGTTCTGCGACAACAAATCCTCCATGCAGATTGCTGCCAATCTCGTTTATCATGAACGGACCAAACACATCGAGATGGATTGCCACCTCATTTTGGGAAGATCCAGTCTGGAGTTCTTGAAACTACATACGTACCTTCTAATAAGCTCCAAGTTGTTGACGTGCTCACTAAACCACTTGGCCATGGTTGTTTCAATTCCTTGTTAGTATACTCCATTCATAGTCCAACTTGACAGGGGGGGGGGTTATGAAAGAGCCACGTTTCATGTGGACTCCTATGACTACCATGCATGCACATCACTAGGTGGCATTAATATTTTCTCTTCTCTATCTCTTATCCTTTCCTACTTCATGTACACCTCTTCTTCTTACTTCTTACTTCTTATAAAACTAGAACTCTATCTCTTCATGTGTATATAAATATTGGTTAATCATCAATGTAAAGACACAAGTTTCTCTCTTCTTTGATACCATTCTTCATATACAAATTCATCAAACCAGTTATTGATATGCTTCCATGTATTGGTAGGGTACAATACATCTCGATATGGAGGCTTATCGCGCCAATAAGCATGACCCATGGGAACATACCCAGTCATGATGTGATTATGGATTTGGATACAAAACACCTTGTATCGAAGGTATTATATCTGATGGTGCATGATCTAGTGCTCCTTGATGAAAGACAGCTCAGACGTTGGACTAAGTAGGTTGCTTGAACAAGCTACAAGAGAGAGAGAGAGAGAGATCAGAGTGACTGGGTTGCTTGAACCGGGGTGGGCACTCTGATGCTTAAGTTAGCGAAGAGTTTTGAGAGTGCTAAAAAGAGAGAGAGCTAGAGAGTTGTGAATGCTAAATCGTGCATATCTTTTCTGAGGAAGGGGACACCTTTATATAGGTAAGCTACCGTGAGGTTCATGAATTTTGCCTGAGATCTCTGGCCCATCTGCTTCAGAGGTGGTTTCACACTTGGAGGTCAATTTTGCATAAGTGGGTAGTGCTTATCCAATCGTGCCCGAAGCGGGCGGGATGATAACCGGATCTTTCGACGTGGCATTGTGATCTCGAGGAAGTCGGAAGCGATAACCCACTTAAGGAGGAGGTCGCTTAGCACGCTAGGCAGGTCACTAACTGAACTCAGGTCAGGTCGCCAGAAGCGGGTCACCTCTCGTGTCGACCTAATGTCTTGATGGGCTCGTTCTCAGTTCGGCTTGCCGAGGTAGTGTCTGGGTCGTTAGGTGGGTTTGAGGTGTTCGAGGCGCTTCCATGGCTTGCGTGGTGCTAAGATGTCGTCTGAATGTGTCGCAATGCCATGTGTCCTCATGTGGCACTTTTATGAAAGTACTTTTATAAAAGCACTTTAATAAAAGTATTTTTATGGAAGCATTTTTATGAAAACACTTTTATAAAAGTACTTAAGCACTTATATCAAATTACTTTTATTTGTTCACTTTGGATGGAATGTTTTGAAGTGTTGAAAGAAAATGAAGGACAAAAGAGTCGCAATTGCTTATTTAAGTGCTTATTGGAGAAAAAGACCACCAAACGCCCAATATAAAATAAGTGCATAGTTTTAAAATAAGCACTTGAAAAAGCTGAGGGCCAAATGCAAATAAATACTTATTTGAATAAGCACTTATTCAATAAGCACACATTTTTAACATAAACACTCCCAAACATGGCCTTACTAACTTCTTTGAATCAGCTCAATCAATACAGAAGCTCTCGCAAACGGGCTCTTAAGCTGCTGCTTCAACTTAAGCTGAAGCCCTAGTGAAGTATTAGTGCCCATTTGTGAAGCAGCTCAATCAATGCTGAAGCCCACCCAAACGGGCTCTTAAGCTGCTGCTTTAACTTCAAGGACTTTGGTGACAATTCCTGGCCCCATTTACGACTGTTTGATCCCTCTTGGGCTTTAGTCCGACAGTACTGACCTATCATGGGCTTGGGCTTCATTATTTGTCAATTGGCCTGGGCTTGTCAAAGACTTTATCTGATACGTACAATCCATTGCCTCCCCCAACACCAGCATCATCAGACCATCTAGGATATTATTAATGGGAGCGTATTTGTTTGGGTCTTGGGAAACATGACGTTCAGGACACTGAGTGAGTCACAGCTAGAAAACACTGGGTGATCAGCAAATTGAAGTAAAACTTTTCTCCACAATTATGAATCAAAATTGGAGGTTATAGTCGTCCATACATCTTAATTTTTGCTCCAGATGATCTAAGAGAGATCCATCGTCACCTTAGTTATGTAATGTACCGTAATAATATTGGAGCTTCACCTTATTAGCATAAACTATCCAAAATCACTAGCTTATAATTCGTGGTTATAAGAATTTAAAATCACATCATGAATATAAGTACTGTTTTAGCTTAAACATAAAATGAAAATGATTTTTTGATAAATTGATATTTTAAAGTGTTTGGGTGCATCTTGCATGTAATATGGCCGTGGAAACTGGAAAACAAACATTTTCCAAAATGCAAATAGTGATAAAATTGTGGGAAAATTATATTCCTTTTCATTCATATATTTCTCAATTTTAGGTTTGTTTTCTAACTGAAACAGCAATAAAATTGAGGATATGGTTCATATATTATTTTTCAGGAAAATCCATGATGTTGGAAAAGCATAATATCAGAAAGACTTTGACCAATCAAATCCAGGTTCATATATTATTTTCCGGCGTCGTCTTTCCGACATGATAGTCTGAACCCTATTTTCCAATAAGGAAATAAATTGTATTTAACCCTTCACAAAAATTTTCATTTTTTTTGGTTCCTTAATTGGGAATATGATTCATTTCCTGGTGAATATTATTTTCCTTATTTCCAATAAGGAAATAAATTTGAATAAAGGTTGGTTCTTCTTTAATTTGGCCTTTATATAATTGTATTTTGCCCTTTATATAGATTTTCATTTTCTTGGTTGTTGAAGAATCAATGGAAAAACTCTACCAAAAGAAGGCACATATTGTGAGCATTAGGTAAGCATGACGAACAAAACTTCTTACTGTTATCAACCCATTAAAAGCTATGGTTTGAGCTAAACATACATCCAAAACGAACAGAAATGGCAAAAGGAATCGGTGCACTGGTTGTACTACTGCAAATCAATCACAATTCACAAGTCGGTATAGATCTAGCGATCAATAAAGTGATCTCTTATGCTTCTTCTGCTCCACATATCAAATTCATGAATATAGCAAAATCTGAGATTATGAACCCTGGGAATTGACATCCTAAGCTCGATTTGAGTCAATGCCATTAACGCAACGAATTGATTGATGTGGAAAGGAATATGGGTAAAATTGGATTCCCTAGCCAATACATCAACTCACGAACTGCGAATGGCGATCAAATCAACCCTTGCACTTGGCAACTAGATCCCAACCTCTGGACAAAAAACAAGGAAAAGTTGATGTCTCAAATTTGATTCTCTTTAGGCTTTTCCTTCATATTGAGTTTTCATTCACTTTCGGCCGGTTCCGTCTCACAAGTGTGTTACGTATTTTGGAATAAGGAGATCAAGACAAAAGCAAAGCCCAGATCTTTATTGCTTCTGCGTAATTCTATCAACTTCTTCCTTCCATTGAAATGAAATCATGAAAATTCAAGCTAGATGATAATGGGTGCTCAGTTGATTTGAATTTCCTTGTTCTTGGGGTGGGATTTAATTCCAATAAAATATGAGAATTCTTTGACAGCTCCAATTCAATTTCTTTCATTTCGATAAAAGGTGTGTTTGTTGAGTAAAAGATGAAAAAGGAAAGGACAGTATGATCTATATTTGGTAGTGGGTGTTGGCAAAAGCGAGGTTACATCTATTGGAAAGACTAAAATATGGCCATAACACACCTCATTTATGTTTTCTAATTTGTGGTGGTTCACACTGACCTCCACTTTCACCACTGCTTCATCACTTTTTAGTCAACAACCAGCAACACGTCCTCGAAACAGTGATCCATGTCGACAGAATAACAATTTCCAAACACGCATTGGAAAAAAGGAAAAAAATAGAAAACCATACAAGACTGTCTAAAGATTGAAAACATTGCTCTATGAAGAAAATCCCAACTTTCTGTGTATTTCACTGTGAACAGAATGGAAACCCATTAGTTGAAGATGGCCATTGGGTTGCAACTAAATTCATTCGCCATCCAAAATTGTATGGAGTTTTTGAATTCTCTATCAATTGATCCCAACTTATTTTTATGATTTTATCTTGTCTACATATTTCAGTCTTAATTAGAAGAAAACCCAGAAATGGAAGAACAAAAAAAATTGATTCACCATCCAGAAAAACCTGATGGAAGTTTGCTTTTTTTCATTATAACTACAAAAACTAGCTACAAAACGGCCAAGAGAGGAGCATAATTAACAAATTAACAAAAGCTCCGTCTTAGCTAAAATCTCTGTCATTCTTCCTCTAGTATCAGTTGAAAGTGAGAATCAAACGTGGAACCCCAATTGGTTGAAACCCAGACATCTTCCTCAACAACTGTGGAAGGAAAAAGAGCTACTGTGGCTATGGTGATGATGGGAATTGCTCTCCCTCTCAATGCGCCATCGAAGATGAAGGAAATCGTCCACAGAACAAGGCAGCCTCAGAGGGCCGGTGGAATGATACCCATAAACCTCTTGAGCCTTCTCAAGCAACCTCTTGAAGAGAGGGTGATAGAGATAGGAGATGGGGATCACAAACCTCTGCAACCCACCTTCTTCATCCTCCAATCCAACTGTAACAGCCAACCAACCCTTCTTCATCTTCATCTTCTTCTCCTCTTGCATCTTTCTGCTCTTCTCCAGTGTTGTGTATCTGAGGGGAACAGACATTTAGGGGGTCCAACAGCTGAGGGAAAGAGCTTGGAATTCAGTTGGTACGAAGAGGAAGGTAGGCTTGAACGGTTATATATAGGGGGGAGGAGTAGGTTTTCAATTTTGTTAATTAATTAACAGTGTACGTTCAACCAGTTCGTACTTAATACGGAGTCCTTTTCTTTTCTAGCTAGCTCTCACTTTTCTGCTAGACGGTTGCCTTACTCGTTGAGTGTTGTTTTTGTGTATTCCATTTATTATTGTTTGTTTGATTATCTTTTAATTTCTTTTTTGTTTTTCTTTTCAGTTTTTTAATTTTTGGATGATGGAGGACAGGTGGCAAAGGTGTCATGTGGTCCCACTACGCACAAGTAGGATAACGACCATTAGATCATCTCTTGTGATTGATTATTATTGGTATATCTCATTGTGCTGTTACAGTCAATCTTTTCTTTCTGTATTTCAAATTTTTGGTTCATGATTAATTAATATTTTAAACTAGATTAACACTAATCAAGGTCCATGCTTGATAAAGAAACATCTCTCTCTCTTTCTCTCTCTCTCTCTCTCCAGTTTTGGTTCCTCATTTTAATAGAATCTGTTATCTCCTAGATTAAAATTAATCATGCTTATTCCTGCATGAAAAAGAACCCCCTTCTCTCTCTCTCTAATCTGCTTTTGGTGATCTTGAATAATTAGCAGTGCTGTAGATGCATTAAAAAAACTAACATTTTACTAGGAAGAAAGCATCCGTACTGATGATGACTAAGAGCACACTTTTGTCCAATTAACTTTGGCTGTTATCTGTTTCTGCACCTGTGTTTGTTAGAATCTTTTCCTAGTAGGATGACCAATTGAAAATTCTAATGGTACTCCCCTGTATGATGGCTATCTGAGTCACCTTGTCTGACTCATCTCCCTTGCAATAGTGATTAAGGGGGGACCCTTTGTTTGTAGGGTACAAAATCTAACTGGGTTGATATGTAGTGTTGAAGTAGCCAAAACTTCAAAACTTGGGTCTACTTTAATTTGCAGGGAAGTTGATCATTCAATAACTTGGTAATTTTTAGAGAAGATGAACAAACTCAGAGTGAATTTATGGTTCAATCATTTTATTATGGGTGTTAGATATGTTCATTGAGATGACAACACAAACTCCAATTTATGGTTCAATCAGTCTCATTTATTTCAAGAGGCATTTTCACCTTTGTTGAAACAATGTTTTTTTGGGTAATCCTTTCTAATTTGAAAATTGTGATCAAGCAAACCGTATAAAGACAGCCAAAAAATAACGTTTCCATTGGATAGAAGAGGTCTATAAAGGAACCAAAAGTTAATTAATTGGGAGGAGCCACACATGTGGATCACATATAATCTTATCAAACCAAACCAATCTCTCTCTCTCTCTCTCAATGAAAAGATAAAAGAGAGAATGGAGTGACTAAAAAGTGGTGAAGGTGGGCCAAGTCACTATTGTCCTTGGAAGTCCTGACTGCCTGCCATTGGCCGGTGGTGGCGCACTGCACTGTCCTCTCCACACTCCACATGCCACTCTTCCAATTTATATGCAATTATTAACTATTATAGATCAAATGAAATCAACCATGTATCAATTGTCAAAAGATAATATACCACAAACCAAAACCCCTCCCTCCTCCCCTTTTCTTTGGTGGTGGATTACTTTCAACTCGCCTCTTTTGGCCGCATACATATATTTTTTGAGCAAACATTCAAAAATCAAAAGCATCTACTTGATTCTACTCTCCTCTCCTGCATGTTTATCTACCACTCTTTCACTTATTGGTCGGCAAAAGAAATCTCTCCCTCTTTCTCTCTATCCACACCTGGCGGTCTCAGCCGCGGTTAGTATCCGCCATGTGTGAAGCTCAAGTTCGCCAAGTGTCAAGGGCGGTGCAAATTTTGGATTTTATGATTTTATTGTGATTTATGCAACAAACAAATGGTTTACCACAAGAAAGGAAAAGGGAAAGAGAAAGAGAAAAAGAAGGCTGTGATGAATAAATGACATGAATCACAGAAAAAATGGTTTACCATAAGAAGCTCATGGAAAAACCCTTTTCAGGCAACTGAGTGAAACAATAGCATTTACAAAGACAGTAACACTCGTTTAAGCTTCTTGCACATGTCGGTTTCATTACATAATGGGTTTCAAGTCCTTTTCAATATTTCAATCTTTCAACCCTAAACCTGGACACTGATCATAATTTGCCTTTACTTATTGAATGTGGAGAAACTATACCTATAGGTTGATTTGGAGCCCAATTTGCCACCTGTCCATCATCTGAAGAATTGGGACCTACCATCTGATGGTGTTGACTATAGAGTTGACCATTTAAAGAATCAGCATAATTAAATAACCTTCTTTTTCGTACCAATTCATCTACTAAGTAGAACCCATATAATGGTGCATAGCATCGGGACATGTGACAGGTGTCCCTAGCCATAATAACAAATAAAATAATATAAAGATGTTGTGACAATCCGCTGGATTGTCAGATTTGGATGCATTTTCTTCTGGATCATGGCGTGGGTCAGACAACCCTCTGTCCGAACCCACATTTGCCAGGTTTGGAACCCTTTTGAAGCCCCAAACTTCCAAATATAATAGAATATGATCTGGCCCAAAATCTCCAATTTCTAGTTAGGTCAGTGAAATACTGAAATCCCTAGAGGCCAGATGCATTCCAAATCCCATCTACATGGTGAAATGTACTGGATTGCATTTTTGCATGGGCTGCAAGTTGGACCCAGATCAAATCAGATCAGCCTCCTCAATTTAAAGATCCAAAAATATGGTTTCAAATTGTACCCTAATCTATCTAACAAATAACCCATTTTCACCTAATTAAGATGAGTGGGCATTAATTAATCTCAATTTGGGTTTGAACCAGAGCTCAAATTTGGGTTAATTTGACATTCCAACCCGAACTTGGTAGGGGGCTAAGGTCTAAGTTTGTCTCTTTGAATTTTCTTTTAGGAAGGAAGAGTACTCATGGGCCATATCTAACCTGGTTCACCCCCCTACAACTTAAAGAAATAAGTCCAACTTTAGTCTGCAGACAGGAACCAATATACATGGTCAACCAAACTCATCTGATACCAGACTAGTTTGCTTTGAACTACATGTGAAATATCAACCAACCAACGAATGGACACTGGTAATGAAAACGACATCAATGGTCTCCCTTAGTCTTCTAGGCCACCACAACACTAGAGCTCATGAAACGAAAAAGAAAAAAAATCGCCACCAGAAGCATGGTAAGCAATGTGATTGGTTTATCCTAGTCTTCTAGACCATAAGCATCTAATTTGAACTCAAATGAAAAGAGGAAAAAGTAATCACTCTTTCAAGGAATCTCTGCAAGTGATTAAGTACTCCCATAACCCCGTGAAAAATATATGCCCACAAAGAGGGAAAGCAAATAGCACCTATAAAAGAAAGGAGTATCCAACTTAACCAACCTTTTGTAGGAATATGCCATATTGGTTTAGGCCTTTCTCACTGTTCATGTGTTAGGCTCCAAGCCTGGTTTGGTATTTTTCAGTTGGAAAGTGGTCATACTGACCCAACTCCAAATACCCAGATCACTGGAGATTAATGGATCTGGCGTGGACCAGAATGTAACACCTGGTGTAGGTCTTTGTGTCTATTAGGAAGGGTTTAAATCTGCTTTTTATTATGGTAGATGGATCATTCTCCAGGCTTTGAGCAAGTTTCATCTCATTATTCTTCTTTTTCATGTTCTGTTCTCTTTACATCTCATATAGACATTGATTAGGATTATATATCTTTCAGTGCTACTGTTGGAAAGAACCCAGAGCTGAAAATGGCATTCGGGAATCACTTTATCTCTTATGTTTGGTGTCAGTAATCGGTATGTTTGGCGGCCATTGCCACAACCACACACACCATATGTTTGGCCAAGTTGGACTATTTCTTCCTTCAATGCAGAGAAAAAGGGGAAATCAAATCAGTTCCCCACAAGATTACTCCCCACAACATCCCACAGCACATACCCGCCATGTATTAGAAACATCTCCCAATGATAATGTGCTGTGAAACATTGTGGGGGACTGATTTGAACTCGGAACGGGGGTAATTTGCTGTGTTAGAAGACTTTGAGACAGTAAAAGTGTAAAACCATTAAATTGTGCTTTTTAATCGGAGATACTGACGATTTAAGAACAGATTGATTTCGTGACTTGGGAGGATTGAACTCTCTAAGTTGGGTTTTATCAGTAGGCATCCCACAGACAACAGATGTATATACAACGCAAATTAATAAACCACTGAAATGATCAAACTCTTTATGCTTAGTTTGGAAAGAGTGAAAGAGTACAAATATAAATATATACAATGCAAATACATATATAATATAAAATATAAGGTTTTACACTTTAAATATGTACAATGCAAATACATATAAAATAATATAAAATATAAAATCTTGCACTTTATAAATGTTGGGTCCAGCTATAGGGGCACAAAGTGACCACTCTCAAACTCGAACCCATATTCTCACACTTATCGTCCCAAGATTTTGCCATTGCACCAAGGAATTATTTATGCATATTAAGATATCTTGCACTATTGGATAATTAAATTTCTAACATAATTCTGACCAAGCAAATGTGATGATTTGTGGCTCTGTTTCCACCAGAGAAATATTCCAATATTTCGGCTCATATTCCCCTGTTGCTATGGTACTTTATAGCATAATCTTAAAATAATTTGCAATTAGTCATATTTATCCAAAACAGAGCATATCTCCCTCCACAAACAATACGTAGCATTAATACAATTGGATTGCAATCAAAAGCTTTGACTAGCTAGTACAGTCATTAGCATATAAAATGTTCCATTGACAATTGATAAGCATGCTTATTATTAATTTGCTTTGTTTCATGTGATAAGATGGGAGAGGTCCTTCCACTGTTCCACATGTTAGTGGACCAAATTTCAACCTAAAATTCTTGCCTCATATTGAGAGTAATAT